TTTTTTTTTTTTTTTTTTTTTTTTTTTTTTTTTTTGTCTACGTGTTTCTGGCTTTTTAGTTCATCAACTGCTTTTTCCATTTATAATTAATTGTCGTTTTTTTCGTGTGTTTTCCTGACTCAAAATATCAGATATTCTACCTGAAAGATCTATGAGTGTCTTTCGTGCTATCTCTCTACATGATGTCTTTGTCAATCAATGTCGTTCATTTTTTTTAGTCAATACAAAGAACCAAGGTGCTTCTTAAACCACTTTTTAATTCTTATTATCCATAGCATATTATTTAGCCGTTTCTATTCAAATTTCAAAAAGGTTATTTAATAGAAAATTCGTTGCAATCGTTTTTAGCTCGCTAAATATAACTGGTTTTGAATGCTAGATACTAGTGTTTGCTCTATTTTCGCGCCATTCGTCTATATAGCTCATAAACAATCTTCGTTAACTTGAACTTACTAAATGTTTAATTATCTTACTTTGAAATTCAGCTTCTTTACACTCAAGTTTAAAGAAAATCTAGCGTTTTTATTAAAAATAAAAAGATTAAATGAAATAATTTAAGCTAAAATAGAGTTGAAATTGATTTTCTATCCTAGAATAAATACGTGTAGACGCGCGGAAAAACCGCGCCAAAAAAATAATCTAATTCTACTTTAAAACAAAGCTTTTTCCTTTAGGAAACTCAGGTTATCACGCTTCCGATTTAACAAAGTTCAATTTAGGTTAATCTAAGGAAATACGAGTTAATATCCATCTCTGGATTAATGGAAGTGAGTTGGTTTCGTGGAGTTATCTAAACGACTAACGTATATTGACAAGTTTTGATGATATGAAAGAAAAAACTATGGCAGGTTATATTGGCTTGGGCAGACAAGGAAGCATTCTTAGTGTCTTGTTAAAACTCTACGTTCTCTTATCTCATTTATCGACCTTAAAAACTTGGAATGTCAAAGTCCTATATCAGAGAATCTCAAGCTTGTTCTAGCGAGATTCTTTGAAAACAAATCTAATTGATGAAGTGAATTCCATACGGGAGTGAAAATTCCGCAAAATATATCTTTTTCTCGTAATTACGCTTCTGAAGAATTGCTTTTCAAGAAAGAATAAGAGATAAACAGTAAGAAAAAAAAGCAAAAAGAGTATCTGTAATAAGAGTGTTTTTTTAATCACCAAACTGTTACTGAATAAATTTTTAGTTTAAAAAAGATTTACTTGGTAATAAAAGGTAGTAGATGACGACAAATTTTTTTCAGTTTATTTAGAAATAAAGCTTAAAATTCCTCAACTTTTTTTTTTATAAACTTCAAAATCAAATGTTTGTCTTATCGAGTCAGTGTTTTGTTCAAAAATGAAGAATAAATGTTAGAAACTAACTTTAAAACTAAAAACAAGAATTTGCCAAAGTATTTTTCTCGTCTATAAATCATCAAGAAGAAGAAAGAAGCCATTGTTCTTGTTTTTTGGAGGTATATGTTGTTCTTTATGAGTCGAACTAATGAATTACACTTGAATTGGGGATATTTATCAGTATAAGCCGCTTCTAACACGTCACCAGAAGTAATCACTACCTTTAGACTGGCTTTGAATGACATAACGAGCAGTATGGTCTATAGTATCCTTAAAACGGTTTTTAAAATGAGTGTTTTAGGAATAGTAATTAATACTAGAACGGATGCGAACAGCTTTTTACACACTAACACGCCGAAAAAGCGCCCCAAACCTCGAGATATCTCCCATCTATCAATTAGTTTTGGACAATTTCGTTGACTGTTTTTTAGTTTAATTTACTAACGATTAAACAACTCTACCGACGCATCTGGCCTCGAGCAAATCTATTATTCCACTGCCGTTTGAAACAGGAACTTTGGAGTTCCAGCTTTATTAAAGATTTGTTAGGTTTTTTTTTACAAAGTTGTTTATCCTTGCAGTACTAGCCCTCATGCCAGATAAGTAATTTCTGGCTTCCGTTTCAAAGCCCTATTGTATTCACCGATTGATTTCAAATGAAATGTATTAATGGACTTTGGAAATCACATCAAAGGTTCTTATCTAATGCCTTATTTCTGAGAGTATTGACTGCGTCCAAGGGCTGCCCTTAATAAGATGAAAAAGAAAGGGGACCTGTAGATTCGTATATTGATTGGTATTTCTTTGCTCGTTATCAAGCTGGTGAGATATCTTTGAAGTCAAACCCAATCCAACATCGCAAAAGGCATTTTTGAGTTGCATAAATGACGATGGTTTTGAGTGCACTGCGGTTAGTCTTGATTCTTGCCAATTGTCTATCATCTAAGTAATGTCTCTCCCACGATATCGTAAGGCAAATACGAAAAAAGCGATATAAATACTATCTATTGTAGTTGTAGTGAGCCAAGCTAAATCCAGCACGTGCTGGATGCCCTCAAAACACCTGCTTACGTTTTACCCTAAGTGAAATGTGAAAAATCCTGATTAACCTTCAAAAAGAATAAATGAAGAATCTCTGTCAAGGAGTTTGTTATAAATTTCAACAGATAGACACCCAGGGAGAACGACAACGAGCCATTAATACTTTTACTTAGCTTTGATCTATAATAGTTTCCTAGTCAAACTTTACATGTCATGGTCTAAAAATCTACGAAGATCGATCTTCACAGAGTAGAGTACACGGGCTGTCAAACGTAGAAAGCTTAATTAGAATTGAGACTAAGATTATGTTTAACCAAGCTTGGGTGTCTTTCAAATATGACTCCTGATCTTACCAAGAGAGCCAACAATGAAAATTACACTTCAAATAAACCTTAAATTAATATTATTTCATTCGTCGTTTATGTATTTTTTTAAGGCTCTTATTGTTGTGTAGTAAGAAAGATATTTAATGTGGCGGTGAATTTCAAGAAAAAGATACCAGCCAGAAGCGTTAAAATTCCAATCACTTTATTTTTCAGTTGTTGTGGTAAAACTATTTATCAAAAAGTATAAAATATTTACAATCGTATTTACAACAAGCAAAATACTGTTTCTTGTTTTGATTTACAAGTTCGTTCGTTTTACATGGACGACATTTTTTTTCTTATTTCGTTTTTATTTTTTTCTTTCATTCACTGATCTTTTTACCCTTCTCCTCTCTTTTTCCTTCCTTTCTTTTTTCCCTTTTTAAAAGTTTAATTAGTGAATGGAACAAGTTCTTCTTGTTAATCATATTATTTCCATGATTATTGTGGTTAGGATTTTGCTTTTGAATTTCAATTTCTAATATGTGCTTACATCAATGCTATTAACCTTCAAAATATACAATACAATCACTCCATTAGTGAAGAATCGATCTCCAGAGAAAGTCTCGTCGTTCTATCAGAATAATCTTCGCTCGATTTTCGTTCCTGTTGAATCTTTGACGGCCTATGTCGAGCAGATTTCTGATGAGCGCGCAGCCCAGCAAGTTGTGAATACGCGTAATGACAAACCGTACATTTATAAGGCTTTTCTCCCGTATGTAATCTCGTATGATTCCTCAATGTTGATGACTGTGAGAAAGACTTCTTGCAATACTTGCACTGAAATGGTTTTTCTAGGGTATGAATGCGCATATGCGAACGTAAGTTGCTTCTGGAATTAAATCCTCTTCTACACAATGTACACTTGAGTCTTCCAGGAACTGTACTTGGTTTATTTTCTTGAGTAAACTTGCAAACAGATTCAGGTTCTGTCAAGGAAATAAAATTGAATGAGTTGTTGTTAATTCATAAGCCGTGGTTCAGTCGGTTGAGCTTAGTCAAACAAATCCTTTGTATTTTTTTTTAATCAACTTGAAGAAAACAGCTTTTGCCTTGAGTGGCATGACGGTAAGCATTTCCTATCGATTTGGTAATGTTTACGCCCCGAGTACATTATATGCACACATTAAAAACACAATCAGCGTATTTTAATTTACCCATTGAGACGTGTGTCTTGAACAGTGCTATGCACTGCGCTCTCTTTCTTTCCACTTGTAAAAAGATCATTATATTCGGAAATGCGGGTAAACAGACCGATAGGTCATTAACAAAGTACAAAACTAAAACTATAAGCGCGCGTGACGCATGAGTTTAGATTTCCTTTTATACAAGTCTCTAACTAAAACCATGAAATATTCGCACAATAATGAAAACTTAGAGTTAGTGTTGATGCTTTTAACATGCTAAATTTGAATGCGGAAAATCATGCGTTTCCCGAATCGGCGCAAGTGAATTTTTTTTTTCTTTCTTTTTTCTTTCTTTTTTCTTTCTTTCTTTTTTTCTTTTTAATGCATTTACCACTTAATTCTAAAATAATAAGTGTATAAAAACAGACTTGGTGTTACCAATTATGTTTTACTTGGTTGATTTATCAGTGTTTTTCAAGTAAAATAACAAAAACCTAAAGAGTTTACTTAAACCTTGAGTTGTTCACCTGGTTGATGAAGGTGCTTGATTCAATGAGAAATTCAATCTTTAAGGAAATGGATTATACATTTTCCTTTGTACATCTTCACTGGGGGCCGGTGAAAGTGTTTTTTTATACTTGTCTATACCACGTAATCATAACTCGTTTGTATATAATCAACTTTTGAGGGATTATAGCTAAACCGAAATAGTCATATAAAGATCATGATTTACCACACCGATGCAATTTTTCAATCTCTAGTACGATAAGAAAAAATGTCTTAACTCGTATACGATTAATGACAACAGCATCACAAACTAAATTGGAAATTACTGAATAAGCAAATAGGCAGGTCTCTTCGATCATTCCTGTTCTGATTTTCCTTAACGAACGTTGGCCAGGTGCTTGAAAGACTTTTAAAAGAAAAAACACAAAACGAAATCTGATCCAGTTAGGCTATCCTAAAAAAAATAATCAGAATTTTAACAATAATTTGTATTAATATAGTGTAGAAGCGTATTACTTTTTAAGCAGGAGATTAGCTACAAAATTGGTAATTTTGATCAATCTGATAATTACTCTTTTGAGGACTATAAGGATTGAATAGTGAGGTCAAAAAAGGTTATTTTTGTAGTTGACTTGTGGGCTGGCTGGTATATTGAGTATTTTTTATAAGGGTATCTTTTGGTGCAGGTCATAGTGTGTTTAGTATCAATGCATCACTAAAAAATGTAAAGTATTGTCATGCTTTTATTAAACCCCCCAGTACTTTCTAAATCATATTTATATAAAGAGAACGAGAGCGGTAGGTCGGTTTGTAAATCCTCTGACCGGCTTTCAGATCACTTAGAGACCGGTCGTTCCGAACAGCTGTCTTGCGTTTAAGATTTTGGTTTCATTATCAGGTCTTGCATATCCTAAGTAATATTGGTATAGATGCGAAAAGAATTGCATTTATTATTTTAACCAGAACCATTCAGATCCAGCCATTCATTTATTATGATGCGCACCTATAGGGTCTAAATGGATTCTTATTAGCAGAAGAGCGCTTACATTGACAATTCGAATTGTGATAGCCGATACGAGAATGCCTGACAAGAATGCATTCAGAACTCTCCTAATTAATCTCCCGAAACACAGTAAAAATCAAATGAAGTACAGGTGCTAGAAAAATATAAATCATAATTAACTAGAGTCGTAATTCGGCAGGCTTGTTTTCTATTCTTTAATTACAACTAAGTAAGATGAGACAAAATTCTTTACCCGTTTGATAGTACACGCACTTCGAAGATGTTTGAATTAAGACCCGCATATCTTCAAAAGTAAACTCGACTAGTGTTAGTAAGTTCCATTTGTTTATATATTTTCCTTTGTAATATAACTAAGATTATTTGGTTCTCTTATGAAATAAAATCTGGATCTGTGCTTTATGTGATTATCGTTTACACAATTTTTTTTTTTTTTTTTTTTTTTTTTTTTTGAAGTTGTATTCTAGTGAGTTTATTACCAAAACACAGCGCCTCACTTAAAATATACTCGTCAATAACAATTATACAAGTTTTAACATACTATTCAATCTCATACCATTCGATTAACATAGCCATAAGTAGTTGGCTATCCAGTGAATATTGTATTTCATAAAAAGAGACGATGATGTTTATCACTCGACAAAGGGTGAAAGCAAGAATAAAACAACATTTTCAGCTGCTCGTTCTGATCGACCCCCACTACTTCATACTAATCCCAAACGTTTTCCAAAGAGAAACCCTTAGTTCAAAAACTAAAAGTGTGTTCCCTTAGGAATATACAAAGTTTTCAAGCTTCGATATAGTTGAGTTTTTCATTTTCTTCGTTATTTTAAAGGCGAACAAGACATTAAATATTTCGTACATTTGATGTTTGTCAAGCCCCCATTCTGCTTTTAAATAAACTCCTTACTAATTGATCCCAGTTAAACATACTGAATCTCGTGAGTTTACAAATCATTATACTTTAGTATGATTAATTCACTTCTTACTTCGCTAATTGATTTCCTTGGACAGTCCAAGCTAAATTAAATACCAACATCCATATGTTTTCTTTCTATTGAAAGCGAAAAATTCAACACGGTATTTTGAATACAAATCAACCGCTTTTGCGCGCGTTCATTCTCTAAAAAAAAACGCAAATGAAAAAAAAAACTTGCAAGAAAAAGTCTTGATTTTAAGGAAAACTTTTACTCCTTTCTATAATTGTTTTTCTTTTTCGTCACCTTTTCCTTTTTAGTATTTTTTACTTTTTTCTTGCTTCGTTAAGTGGTTTAAAAATGTTAACATACAATAATTATTTTTAAAAAGCGTCGGCTCGCATGACCGTCGTTTTGTAAGTCGTCAAATTCTGAACGAATAAAAAACGGTTTGGTTTTCGCCCGGTGTGAGGAAGCTAAACAAGTGAACTATGCGTGAAGGGACCAGCGACTACAGATAGTATCTCGCAACCAATGAATGAAATAAACCCAGAAATAACATCCATTCACCGACGAAAACAAAATACGTTTATAATTACGCTTTTAGATCTAAAGTATTTTTGTACAATTCTCCAGAAGCTTAAACAACCCTTTCTATTGTCTCCTTTGCCCTTCGCGACGTAATTGGACAATTTTCAAGGAGTTTTCTTTGAAAATGTTTTAAAATAATTGTTTTTCCACTTGATTTGATCCACGCTTTTATACCATTGGTAATTCTAGCTTTTCAGCCGATTTTAGGAAATTATAATTTGAGTACTTGTGTATAAGTTTATGTCTCCGTTTCTTAATTACGGGGAAGTTGTTTAAGACTGTACGCCATGTCTTAACTCACCCTTTATACTTCTAAGTCGATTTACCGTCTCAAATTTTTAAGGATTCCATTTGGATTGAAGGATTTTCACGTAGTTTTTAAGGTCAGATAACATCGGACAGCAAGATAGGGTTGTATAATTCATGTCGTTGTTCGGTATACATTATAGACAAGGAACGACTTATTTGCTTTCACTTCAGTTTTTTCTACCTTAAATTCAGCCTCAAAGTTTCGTGTACTAAATCACGCAAAACGAAATAAAAATCTACTGTGATGTATTCAAATAAAGATTGTAATGGTACGAGGAAAATAAAGAGAGAGAAACGCACACTTCTTCAATGAAATGAGAGGGGGGAGGGGGAGGGGGGAATGCTTTGAGAAATGGAGACCTCCAGTATATACTATGAGAGCTCAAATTGACATACCAGTGAAAAATACAATTTACTTTCATAGAAATCCTAAAGAACAGTGCTCCAAGGATGACACACATGAAATAAAACTTGAAATAAAACGTTAAAACAAAGTACTTACGAGGAATAGAAGGCGCAAGTTCCGCTTGGCTCTTTCGTCTTCGTCTGGTGTAATCATTGACTGGCGGGATTCCAGGGATGCCTAAAAACTGCATATAAGTTCCGCCATACCAGACTAAGAGTTCCTGGTCAGGAGGCACGTCTTTGACTGCTCTGTAATATATATTTCCACCGTACTGGAAGACCTCTAGATTCTGCTCCTGTTCGTTGCGAGCGCAGTTGACGAATCCCATCCAGTTACGAGGGTTTTCATCCTTTGCGTCAAGAAAATGGCTTATCGTTCCATCCTCGTTTAAAACCTGAGTCAAAAAGAAACGATTATTACTCAACCTTTTAAGGACTGTTTTGGTTTCTAATAAACCCGAAAAATAACTTGTGTTTTGTAGCATTTTTAGAAGTAAGAGTTTGTTATTCCACCTAATAAAATAAACACGAGTCAAAAATTCCAATAGACTCAAAAGCTTCAAGAAAAATTTCCAATGAGCTACAACAAATGACCTCAAATAGGTCTAGAAAATCCGCTAAATTTGTCATTATGTTATGTTTTCAAAATAAATTGGATGCAAAGCGCGGACTAACAAAGGAGAGCCCTGAATTTCAGTGCAAAAACAGTTACAGAATCACTGCTAATATTGCCGGTAACAGGGTGTTCAGGAATATTTCAAATTGCATCAACAAATGAAAGGATTTCAGGACTGCATTTAAAACAATTCAATATTACAAGAATGTGCTTAGAATATGAACTATTGGGTACTGATTTACGGAGTTTTCTAACACATATTCTTGTGGATTTTATCCATTGACGCGCGCGCTGCGCTATCGATCATCACAGATTGAAAAACTACAGTCAATATCGCGAGACACAACACAAAGTTTAACTACAAAAAATAGACAAGATTAATCAAAATTGAAAGTTATTCAAGTTTATCTCCTCCCCAGAAACCCTATTATCAATTCTCCTATCTTTTCTTCAAGAAAAATATAGAAAGAAATTTTGAATAATCAAAAATGTAATTGAGGTTGTTCATGTCAGTAAAGGAACAAGTCAGACCACCGGGAAATCAAAGCTCGTTGTATTAAACAAAGATCGAATATATTGTTCATGTCAACAGTTAACAAAATTCCCCCTAATATCTTCTGAAATTCTATCATTGGGAAATCTAATATTCAAGATTTCATTCACTATATAGTTTAGAGTTTTCTCAGCTTGGTTCTTGCCTCCCGTGCGTTTTATCTATTTTCAATTAAGACCTTGTAGTTGTTGGCCAAATATTCGCTATATGTTGATCATGACAAAATGGCTTGATATGAAAATCATAGCAAGATGCAGATAAAGTTAAAATATCGCTAGGACCCCGCTAACGCAAGGCAAAATAAAAGACAAACTTATTAATGACGAAGTGAAAAATAGATTTTATTTTTGAATAACTGAAATACTTACCTCCCACATTAAGTTGTTATCAACGTCAAAATTCACTTCCTCGAGTTTTACGATTTGGCCTGTGTAAGGTCCCATCTGCGTGCCGTCTTTGATCCAACAAGTGCTGAATACACCGAGCTGAACGCCCGGGATTGAAGAGGGAGCGATGGTGACTTGTTCTGGTAGAGACACGAACGCCATGCAATAGGAATCGCTGTTTAAGCAAAGTTGCTTTGGTTTTGTGTTTTCGTTGCTTAAAACTGGAAGCATTGTAGGGGAACTTAGTCTTTCAAGACTCTCTGAGTAAGGCGATTCAGATTCTGTGCGTTTCAATAAAGAAAATAGGAGTTATGCTTTGTGTAAGGTATGTCTTTAGTCTTTAGGGAACTACAGAACCACGAACTTGTAAAGATAGTGAAGGATTTTACTCCTATTGTCATTTCCCCACAAAACTATCATTATTTTATTAAATTTTGTCTATCTTTTTTCGAGTCGTTTTTTCCTTAGAAGTTGCACACAAACGGTCCTCAATAGTCTCAAATTTATTCACAACTTCGATAAAACCTCAAAACCTCGAGGCGAATTCGTTTATATATCAATAAATCAAAGACGAATCAAGCATCTAAGGTAGGAACAAAAAAAAAAACAGTACTTATCAATAATTCATTGGATTTTATTCACAATGCTACTGGAAAACCCTTTAAAAACCAGTTGGTTAAATTAGCCGGGGTCTAAAAAACCTGGCTAAGAACTGTTATCTTAGTAAGTAAATCTCTAGTTTGCAGCATAGTATTGTTTTGAGTGGATTTGTGAAAGATCTCTAAAATATACCGGAGTACTTTCTTGAGTATACCATTATAAGTAACATGCATTTAGTAATTCCCAAAGTGCTATATTAAGACACCATTGAAAAAACGTTGGTTTTATCTGTTTATGGGCGATCAGAGATGATTGTGTTTATAGGAAAACGCTGGAATAAATCTGAAACGGGTTACGGAAGTTTATAGATAAATAACATCTCGGATATGCATTTCTCATTCTTATTACTTGGCGCTCTATGAAAACACAATGGGTTTTTACATCGTTATCAGTTCAATTTACAAACATCAGCTATGTTAAATGCATTGCAGAAAAGCGCTAAATAAAAACTAAGGAAGCATTAAAAAAACTGATATAGGTTTGGGTAGAAATTCTCTTAACTCCTCCAACTCGTCCAAGCAGTTGTTTATGAAGATTTAGATCGCCATTAAAATTGAGCGTCATATTTTGAGGGTGTGTGCTCAATACGAGCTTGAGTTGTTATATCAAATGCCATAAAACATCAACAGCAAAGCAGGTCGTTTTTTCTTCCCGAACTTTTTTTCTTGATTATCTAAACAAGCCGTCAGTTTTACCTCGGCGGCTTTAATTAATGAGTAAAAATGATTCATTTTTGGTAATTTTTGACGAACATACACCGATTCTGTTCAGGCTACACACTTAACTATGATTGTTAAACTTGACTAAGTCCAATTTCCTTCCCTGTTTCCTCAAGAACTATAATTCACCACCAACAAAAAGCAACAAGACCATTTGCTTTTAATTTCCGAGGATCAAAAAGCAGAATAATTAAAGATGTTTTACTGAAAAAATATTTTTTCAAAACCAGTTTCCACTAGTGAGAAATACATTGGATCCAAAACAAATTTTTGGTCAAATAATTTCTTGTTAAAACTATACATATTTATGAACTTTTACACCTGTTTGAGGAAAATTGGGTATTTAAAACTTATTATCTATGTGAAATTACAATTGGAGTAAGGAAGTATTTTCGACTAAGTTTTTGAAAATGGTCAGTGTTTGTTCGTATATTTTCGAGTAATGAGCTCGCTCGAAGTAAACACGACAAACGGATATTAACCTAAGGGACTTGTTTAGCTTCAAAAACATTTTATGTTCAAAAAGACAAAAAATATATAAAGCATATTTATTCTTTGAGGGAAAAACTAGGGGAGAAATTCGCAAAAATATATCTATTTTGATGGTGGAAATGCTTTGTAAGTAAATCACGATTTTTACTAATTTTCTAAGATGGGAGCACGCGTCCACATAACACTTAAGACAAAGGATTTATCCGTAACCCAAGATAAAAACAGCCAGGTTACACGTACAGACGTTATGGTAGAAAGTTTTTATATTATATCTTCTAGATGAAAATGTTTCTATCGTATGATTTCCACTTGGCATATCAGGAAATTTATCTCTTCTTCTTGACAGAAATTTTTTGAAAAGTAACGTTTCCAATTTTAGTCATTAGGTGAATTGGAATGTGGAAGTGATTGCCTCATGAAATAAAAACACACAAACTGAGACGCGTACTCGCCAGCGCTTTAAATTTTTAATCCCGCGCTTTAGTTAAATTCCGTATAAAAAATGCTTCGAGAATTACTATACTATACAAGCCACAAAACACGTTCTTAACTTTAGGGGGAAATAAAATCGCTCCAAGATTTTTTTCTTCTTTTGTCATTTCATTCTTTACGAGGTTATTAAGTGGGACAATTAAATAATTTCACCTCACTGACAAAATCGTTCGAATCATTCGAAAAACATCGTTTACAGAGGGTAAATTGTAATCAGCTCAAACTGTACAGCGATAAACAATTTTCTAAGGAATATTAATAAACAAACAATAATGTGCTGATTTTAGAAGACTTACCTTCGTCGGAAGGGTATTCAGTCTTGTCTAGGAAATTGGATTTGAATGTGAGCTCCTTCTGTCCTCCAAAAACATTGCACCACTTTCCATATAAAACGCTACGAAGAACTTCTTGGCTGATACTAAGCGAAGATGGTGGACTATCAGACACCCAACTCTCCATATCCGTGGTGATTTTTTTTTATTTTATTATTTTATTATTTTATTATTATTATTTTAGTCTTCGACTGACCTCAACGCTCTGACGGTAGGGCTCGGTTATGGGGTTTTAATGAAACGCGCAGCTATTTATCCCCGACTATGCATGTCGTTGACAATGATCAGCTCGTGAACAATGGTTACGTAAATCTAAATAAGTCTTTGTAATAAATCAAACGTTTTTCATCGTGCCCTTCACACCTCATTGAACGCAATGCTGTCCGAATATAATGAGTGATCAGCCTATCACAGCACCTGCAAGAACCCTCTACTGCGCATGTCTAACCACGTTTCGCGCGGTCGAGATTTCGCCGTCCGATCACTGCGTCGTATCGGTGGCGAACAATTGATAACTTTGACAGGTCCTCTTCTATTACCATTACCGACCTGCTCATATATTTAGATGTCTGTGTTGCATGATAGGTGTAATATAGGAACAGTTGTAATCACTACTTAAGATTTGACAACTCTCTGAAAATGACCTTAAAATTCTGTTAAAAGGTTTTTCTTAAGGACGCAATATAATGCTACGCTATTTTTAAGGAGGGAAAACTCGCACAAAAACACTGTTTTTGAATTGTGTACTGCATCTTAAACCGCCAAAATTATGGCCTTTTCTCTTGGGGGTTTGTTAGTTTAGCTACAATACTTTGAAGTACTAGAACAAATGATCCACTTTTGGGCGTTTTTCATGTTAAGTTTATTTATGAAATATTTTACGCTTGCTTTTCAAAAAAAAATTCTAGCTCTCCTAAAGCGTTTTTATTAGGCCGTAACTCCTCTAAACTCGTAGCTTCGTAGCGCCACATACATCCAATTTTCTTTTAACCAACTGAGCCCTGCAATCCGCAAATAAAATAACGGTGGAAAAACTTGCTTCATTTGTTAAAATCTTACATTAAAGAATTTCTTTTTCATTTGTTTAAGAGAAGTAAATTAAGAAAAATTAAACTCGCAATCTGATGTAAACAAGTCGGCTCTCTGCGGTGCATCGACCAGCACAAAAGAGTTAGCGCCTAAATCAATCAAAAATGATTATATACCCTGACTTAATAAAAAGTATTCTAACCTTTTCCATTAGAAGATCTCTTAATTATTATGACCAAGAGAGTCTTAATAAAGGCCATTGCGCCTTTCGCTAATTAAAAACAAATAACATGTTTTATTTCTTTCGAGGGACAGATTTGAGTTTTTTTTCATAAGTCCATGATTGAGTTAAGTTTTTGGCATGTTACAATTGCTAAACCTTTTTGGGGGGGATTTTGAAAGCGCTGAATTCGGATGATTTATGAATTGATTGATAAGCTGGCTTGGATTTTCTGAATGGAATGTTGTTGAGGCCTGGACGTACGGAAAGGATATTCAAGTAAGGACTTTGAGGTCGTGTTGGTACTGTAGAGGTAAACTAGCTTGTGAATATCATCGATCACCTGCTATATGCTCCACGCGTGTTAGACGCGTGTCATAACAATGTATGTGTTTAACGTATGGTATTTACTTGAAGTTCATACTATTCTTTTTTAATTGGAGTCCAGTGTTATGCTCTGAATAATGTAATCTCGACGATCGGTGATGGAGATCTCAAGCTAGGAAAGCAAAACACTAAATAATGATAAGATGACAAAAAAAAAAAAAAATCCCAAGATAAAATGATTTTGTGAAAAGAACGCAAACGTTGACAATTGTTATAATTATTTTATGAAGGCAACTGTTTGCTAAACTAAAAAATCACAATCTTATTTCCTTTCTTTTTATTTTCTTTTAATTTATGTAACATATCGTTCAGTAGTGACCAAATCTGGGATGGATTTTCTTCCTTTATTTAATCATTTTTATCATTTGATATTTTCTAAAAGTCGGCCTAAGTATTCCTATAACATACTAAACACCTCAAAGAAGGTGAGTAGAATTGAATTTACATGTAAATAGTACCTTAAAGACCAAGCATTCACCAAGTAATGCATTGATTAAGTCTAGTCTTGGTGATTAAAACTTGGCTATTCATCGAGTTGTAAATAATGTATCCTTATAAGAACAATTAGTGAAAGCAACTACACAAACGGCCGATAACTTTTAAAACCAATCGTGCTCCAAATCAAGACGAAAAGAAAACTAGCAAACGCAATAAATCGAACGAAACTAGAAATGAGAAAAAAGTATCACAGAACAGTAAAAAAAAACCGATGTATTCATACATTTTGAATAAAGACAAAGAAAACTTATTTTTTATTCAGTAATTGCTCATGTCGTAGCAAAGTTTTGTTTCCTTGAAAATGAGTTTATTAACGGTGTAAAACGGAAAACAAAAAAGTATACGGGCTTATTTAGCTGCATTTTCTGATATAATAAAGTTGATTACCGCACGAACCGTATTCAATCTCCTGTGGGAAATTAATCGGTCAGCATTAGCAAATATATACTTCAATAATGAGGGATCCAAAAGACACGACCCAAGCTAAGAAAAACAACAATAAGTTGCCCTCTGAAAGGAAGCGAGATTGCTATAAAAATTGAAAACTTTAGTCTCTCTGTAAGTTCACCGGAACTTCTAACTTCTCGCTGTTTTGTCCTGCTGTTTCAGCTCGGCGATGCGAAGTTCCTAAAATGCAAATTTTTAATAATATGTTAGTTTATTGAGAGAATACGTACACAAACTAAGAACTCAATATCCCTTAAGATATTTAACATGTTGGGCTACAACAAAACTTCATCACCCCCAAGCGACTAACCAATGACCTCACTTCACTTCTTTTATCTCGCAGTTTCCTTCGTTTTATTCAGAGCTTTTTTTTTTTGTATTCAAATGTTTGCCACTCTATTTTCTCTCCCTATAGTTATCCCACTATATTCTATGATATATCATCGTCATTCTCTCTCCGCTACACGTGCTGTAAAATTAGTCGACAAAGTGGGTCCTAGAGAATTTACGATGAATTGAAGATAATAAAACAACGAAGCTTGGTTGAAAATGAATGAAGGTAGAAAATACTGCTCTGAGAGGGCCACTGGACTAGGACTACATATACAGGTGCCTTCTATAGATACTTAGTGAACTTCTAATGCCATAGATCTTTAGGGTAGGTTTCACCGTGCTCAGTGAATCAGTTATGAGGGCTGCCCGCATTGTAGGCAGTGGCCACAGCACAGTATCACCACGGAGATCAGTAAAGGTTTTGTTTGGGGGATTGTCCAATACGCCAAATTTGTATTTGGTTCCCTAGGGTGACCTTCATTCCGAGGCACTCTTACTGAAGCTTAGGATATCATACTTCGTTTGTCATAGACCATTGACCAAATGATTACAAATCGAGCACTTGAACAAGTTTGCTATAGTCCTTGTTCATGAAGGGGGGCTTTTTTGGTTCAACAACACTAAACAGTGGTCTTTACGTCCAGGCGTTCGACTTTTACTCATTAACTGAGAAGACCTCTTCCTCAGTTCTATTTCCTATCTGCTCAGTCATCGCTAATTCCTGTTTTCCTTTGTTTTTACATTCATAATCACTATATGGTTATTGTGAAACCACGAGTAATATAATTTCAAATGCTCTCTTAATTAGTTCAACTCTCTCCGGTTCTATCAAGCCAGCTCGCCTCGGGGCTGGATAAATTTGATAGGTCCGGAGAAATAACAAAATGGAAAGATTTTAGGGAATGCTTTCATTCTCCAAATAATAATATCGCTAATCTTCGTGAAGTTTATAACAAAATGTTGAGATGAAATTAATGTATTCCTTGTTTTCCAGTTTTGTCAGTGAGAGTTTGATTCCAAGGGAGGGTTCTGTTTGGTTATATGATGAAAGGCAATCGTTAGATATGAATTTTGGGATTAGAGGAGGGGGGATGGCTATTAGAGATTGAACTTGATCTCTCTGCTTGGGCAGGTGAGGCTTGCTCATTCATGTAATCTGCATTTACTAATGTCCATGTAACACTATAATGCTTTCAAATACCTGCATGGGAAAAAGAAAAAAAAGAAAAAAAATTCTACCAAATTCTAAATTTGAGGAACTATTAAGTAAAAGTCTACGGGAAAAGTTCACAGTTTCACTACAAGTAAAATGCCTCATACACTAGAAATCCCTTTTCTAAGCCTCAATGGTTTTTACACAGTTCGAAGAAGAGGACATTTAAACTACCCACAGACAATCAAACGCTTCGCAAAACTTAACAATTCAGTTCAATTCGCTAACTGTATTTTAGATTCAACTTTCGCTGGATTTGATYACAAGCTGAAACCATTTCATTTGTTGACTGGTATATTTGCCCAGAGTTTTTTTCACTTTATTGAATTAATAGCAAAAGTGACAACTTTTGTCTGATGCCATTTCGAAGTTCCTCAATGTCAAATATGAGAAGAAAAAATATTCAAACTTTTTTTTCAAAATGTATATTTATAGGCAGCAAAAGTATATTAAAGGACCAGTTAATTTTTCGATGTGACCGCAATCACTAACCTAAGCTTTAAAATATTCAGATTTGAATACTTAATTTTAACCCCAAACTTAAATAATTCGATCTACGCTTTTCACTTATTAACGACTGGTTTTGCAAAATTAAAATAAGACTGTTATCTTGGAGCTTGTGAATTTTGTTTTTTTTAAAAGGTTGAGGAATAAAAAACCTTGATTTACCACAGATTTTCTGAATAAGATAGTGGAGATAGGCAAGTCTTGTTAGGAGAATATTATTCATGGAGATTTGTGAGTTTCTACCAAGGGTATCCATTTAGAAAACATTCTCTATGGAAAGCCACTTCGTTGAAGCATGACTCATTATTCTTAACGCGTTAAAAGATTTTTTTGATTCACCATTTGTAATAAAAAATGGCTCAAAACACTTCGATCGAGTGGGTATGTTAAATGTCTTAATTTAATTATGAGTACTCTTCCAAGCCACTAGCAAATCACACCGCCTTCGCCTTGAAGCTTATTAGTAGGTAATTGTTGAAAGCACAGCTACATATATTACTTAATTTACACTGTATTTCACCCAATCTTTCCTTTAAAAAACTGCCATGCTAAGTTTGCTCTCGACTTCATTATCTACATTATTAGT